TGACTTGGGTTAGACGATGAAATTCATTTTGATTATTAAAGTATCTCCGATAAAATGAACATCGTTATCCAACTGAATTCCCAGTCATGGATTGTATTCCTTCATTTGTATGTGTGAAAATGGTTTTTTTTCCATCGATCATTGAAATTCAATATAGACCTTGGCAGCAGTAATTTTTTTCGCTTGCATCATCTATCATATACTGATTTGAATAATTTCGAATTTCCTTGGAAATTGAAAATTTCCGTATTCTTTTAAAAGATAACTGAAGTTTTAAATTAATTTGATTATCTCTATATATGTATATGTATATTGCATCTTTATGGTATGGCTGTAATTCTATCCGTATTTGAAAAATAACTTTTATTTTCGTTGACCGATTTATATAATTTTTTATATACAATTTCTGTCTGAAGTGTCCCACACACACGCTAAATATCAACTGTCGAGTTCAGTATTGCTCATTTATGAACGTTACGACTGTCAAAAAATCGCATTCAATAGAGAGGAATGCTAAGAAATGAAAATTTTCTAGACGTCAAATAGAAGAAACAAATGATCAGGGTGTAGATGTATATGAGGATCATCTATTCACCCACACCCTATTTGTAGGGGTAGAAAAGATTCACAGATCGAATCAAACTGAGTTTTACTGGTTCGAGTGTATTTCAAAAAAAATCTGTTCGGCTTGTTTTCGGTCTCTGGTGTAAAGTAATCGATCAAATTTCATTTGATCATTGTTCGGAGCATCATAATTTTACAAAAACGGTGATACCTCAATCAATTATTTTTCTTATATATTTGTCTACATTCACTCGCTTTTTGATAATCAGTTCGGTTCGATTCGTTTTCGGTCTCTATCATCTACGCCCATCCGCATTTTTTATTCAACAGAAAAAAAAATAAAATTAATATTATTCTTTGTTGTTATCTTCTTGTTTTTTTATTATGATAATTCGATCACATTAAAATTGATAATGTATCAAATAGAGTCAAACAAGAAAACATAAAATTGATCATCATTCTTGTCTGATAATTAAATTAGATTTTATTTTATTTTTTTTTAGTTCCAGCAGTTGTTTTCGATTCTTGTTCAACTGGTGCTTCTTTAACAAATGGAATTTTTTCTGAATATTCTAAAAAAAAGAAAAATTTTCATATGATAAATTAAATCAAAAGAACAAACTTTTCGGCATAAGTGGTTTGAGTATTTCAGGTACGAGAATACCATCATCAGTTTGATAGTTTTCAAGAATAGCACAAATAGTTCGTGTTGTTGCACACATTGTTGCATTTAACATATGAACATATTCAGACTAAAATATAATTGGAAAATAATGAGATGTATGATTTATTATTATAACATACAGATTCATTGAGTTTTTTCGTTTGTCCATAACGAATTTTTAATCGTCTTGATTGATATTCAAGACAATTTGAACAAGAAACAAGTTCACGAAATTTACCCGAGCCCGGAAACCATGCTTCTAAATCGAATTTTTTTGCCGCTGCATTATTTAATTCACCTATAGTAATAATTAAAATGGTTTTTTCTTTTTTCATTATTCTTTTTCTTTCTCTACTTACCAGAAACAATATTAACAATACGATATGGAATACCTATTTTTTGATTAAATTCTTCTGCATTTCCAATCATTTCTTCAAACATTTTCCATGATTCATTATCATGTGGAGAAGTAATACAAAATTGTTCAATCTAAAAGACAAAATAATATAAATATTAAAAAAAAATGAAAATATTAAAACCTTTTCAAATTGATGAACACGAAATATACCACGTGTATCACGACCATGAGAACCAGCTTCTTGTCGAAAACATGTAGAAATGCCACCATAACGAATTGGTAATCGTTCTGATGCAAGCCATTCATCACTAAATAAAATAAATAAAAAGTTTCTTGAAAGAATAAAAATACTACTAACCGATGAAAAGCAGCAATACATTGTTCCGATGTTGCAATTAAATATTTTTCTTCATCACTTGATTCATCAGGTTTATCATTTTTACATACAACCTAATTTAAGAAAATGTCTTACATATGATAGATATTTATTATACCTTATAAAGTTCTTCATCAAATTGACTTAATTGAGCAACTTCTTGCATAACTTCTTTTCGCATAAAAAATGGTGTATAAAGTATTTCAAAATTTTTTTCACTTAATATATTTAAAGCTAATTGAATAATTGCTTGTTCAAGAAATACAGCAGGACCCTGAAATAATAAATGTAGAAAATAGAAATGAAAGAGAATGATTTTTTTTCTTTTTGTTAACCTTCATAAAATAACCACGAGAACCAGCTACTAATGCTCCTCGTTCACCATCATAACCATCAATCATATACATTAAATCAAAATGTGAATATTTCTTTCGTATTTCAATATCACCAAATGTTCGTTCTGTTACATTATTATCCTAAATTTTAATATTCTATTAAAATTTAATAAGAATAAAATTCAAATTTTATTTTTTATACTTCATTATTACTGACAGGTACAGAATGATGAACAATATTTCCTATTTCATATAAAGTCGAATTTCTATCATATTCAATTTTAATTAATTTTTCTTTTGTTTTTTCAATTTCTATATCAATTAATGAACTAAGATGTTTTAATTGTTTTATTGTTAATTTTGAAAGTAAATCAACATTTAATATTTCAAGATTAATTTGAAAATTTTCTGGAAGTTCTTCTTTATCACCTTCATTTTCTTTTGCTTTCATTTTAGTACCAATTGTACGTCCACAAAGATTTTTCATTTTATTCCATTGATCAGCTTGATAACGAATTGTACGCCATTGTGTATCATATTGAATAATATTATCAACAAGTTCAACTGGTTTATAACGTTTTCTTTGAGAATCACGAATTATTTGTGGATCATGACCTTTTTCCGATCGAAATAAATCGATATCAAGTACCATTCTTGGAATGAGATAGATGATCAAATTATCTAATAAAGAAAAACAATAAACGAGATATTATTCTTTAACAATATTTCATAAATATGAAAACATATTCCAATCTATAATCCTTAATTTATTTATTTAATGGATGGCAATCATGATTTGTTTTTATTTAGTTATTATTCTCATAATCAAATTGTAGTATCCAGATGTCGTTACTGATTGATACAAGCATATCATCAGTTGCATGCAATTTATTCATTTTTCATTAGAACGTGTTTATACTGTAAGATGAACAAGATAACAGAAATCAAATAGTCAAATATTCAAAAAGAATTAAGATGTTGTTCAGTGCATCTTGAAATGATCTTACATCTTCAATTATATTTTAATCTAGTGAAACATGAACACGTAAAAATTATATTGAAGATATCCTTTCACATATACATTCGGAAAGTAAACAGCTCTTGGGCGACGGTTTTATCTATCAACAAGACAACGCTATACCATATATACATAAGAAATTATTGGTATGGTGTGAATAGAATTTCGTACAGTTTATAAACAATCATAGATGATCAACAAACAGGTCTGATCTCAATGTTTTGGAGTATTACCTGTGGGGATACTATTCTTATAGTCCATCTAAGGTTCGTACGGATTTCAATTAATAAAATAAATATAACACACAAAATTGTTACTAATTTATCATTTGGCACTGACAGCTTGATTACAAGAAGAACAAGTATAAAAGTAATTAGTTGGAACTATATTTATCTATCATTGTTTATTTTCGATGCATTTACAATCATAACATCACTATTCAGTATTCCCATATACTTTGAACTGCTCTACATAAGATGAACAATAACACATATGACTGACTGATGTTATCAGCTTACAGTACTAAGTGTTCCCATAACATATCTCACAGGATATGGTTTGATTAAATGTTATCAATGTATAATATAATAATGAATCTCAGTGGAGTTCGTGCTAATCCCCGTGTAGTCAACAAGTGTTCACATGTACTTCTGAATGGTCTGTTTACATAAGGATTAAAAAAATGATCTTGTTCGCAACATTGAAAGTTGATCACATAGAATGACATCAAGTTTAAAAACAATGATTGTATACATAATATAAAATTTTTATTTTTAAATAAAACATACTCAATAATAATAAAAACAAAGTTTTTTATACATCAATTTAATATTGAATTCATTGATTGATATAACAAATAAATAAACTTCATAATAGATACTTGATCTTTAATATAGAATCATTTAAAGAAAAAAACATCGCATAAATTTTTCGATTGATTTTTAATTATCAACATATATTTTTATCCTAATATCATTGATCAATTTAGATCATTTTCTTCGATAAGAAATATTATTTTATCCTATGCAGTTATCTATTTTATTTAGAGAAAAAGAATACTATGGATCATGTTTGTGCTATGTATGTGATAAAGAAGAACAATGACCTTGTCTATTATTTATGTTAATATTTATCAATCGGTTGATCTCATATCATACTATAAATCAATATAAAATAGGAAAGAAGCAAGAATAACAATAGAGAATTCATTATAGTAGAAATCAATAGTCAACAGTAATAAAAAACGAAAGGGAATGACAAAATTCATTGATGTACATATAATTGTCATATGACCTATTGTGTACATCAATCGTCGTTTTTTATGATAGTTCTACATATGCATTACATCAGTACGATAACAATATATATCGTGAGCAAAAGCCATAGGAAAAAAAGGCTGAGTTATTTTGGGGGATAGAGAGAAAGAAAAAAAGAATAATAAAGCAAGGACTACTATAGGGCAAATATTACCATCAATATAGTTCCATATACTACTTTACAGAAAGAGGGGAAAAAAATATCAGAACGAGAAGTGTGAAAGGCTATAAAGCCGCGTCCGTGAGATAAAAAAAAAACGACGATATAGAATAAGAAAGATCGATATAACATCTTTCTTTGTGCTTCGTCTTATCCTATTACGTATCGTTTCATTATTGTTTTCTGCACTTCAGATAAAGGCAGAAATCATGTCGGGCGGTCCAACAACAAATCGTCCATTGACAAAAACTTATTGTGAATCGTGTCGCAAAGTTTTTACACCACGAGATGCTATGCAAATATTTCAGGATAGATATTATCATCCACATTGTTTTTGTTGTTCACAATGTGGTAATTCATTAGCTGGAAGACCATTTTATCCTAAACCAAATAATCAATTTCAATGTGAACGATGTAATAATGCACTCGCTCCTATGTAAAAAAACAGGAAAATCTTAATTTAAATTATAAATTTATGATAAACAAAAATTTTTTATTCTAGTTGCTTTATGTGTAATCAAAAGATACCATCGGGTACAACAGCTAAACGATTTAAAGATCGTCATTTTCATAGTGATTGTTTTCGGTAAAAAAAAAAGATTTTGATTTTAATGATTAAATTTATTTTTCTTTTTTCGGTGCCAGTTGTTGCAAATGTACTGCAGTTATACCTGATGGTAACTATTTAATTATCTTTTTTTTTCTAATGTTATTTTTATTTCAAAAAAAAAAAAAATATCTAGGTCATAATTTCGTCGATTTGCTAGATGGACGATATGAATGTTTAACATGTTCGAAGCATATTACTGGCATTTATCAAGGCAAAGAACATGCACCACATTTAGAAAATATATATGGTGAAATAACTATTGTACAAGGCGATCAAGCAGGTCGTATACCAATATGTGACAAATGTACACGACCTGTAACAAGTCAAGAAGAAGCATTTAAACATGAGACACGTTATTATCATCTTGAATGTGCTCGTTGTAATCGATGTCGTAAGAAACTTTTTAAAATACCATGTAGAAAACTTGGTTCTGCATTAGGTAAGTTAAAGAAAATAGTGCAACAAAAAAAAAGTAACTGTTTTGATGATATCTTTTAGTTTGTCATACATGCTCATAAAATTCAACATTTTAATATTTAATGAACAACAAATAATGTACCTATCTAATGATAACCTACCCAGATCTTAAACCCTTGTCCATATAACGTATCATTTACTTCTTTTTTTAATTTTTATTCAAAAATAAACTAAAAAAAAAAAGAACTCAAAAGAGGAAAAAAATACGAATTTTAATTAACTGTAACTGATGTATGTGTACTAGCAGATGTTATCACAACGTTCGTACGAAGTGGTAATAAAATAGGTTTATTATTTGTTTCATTATTCGTACGATGTATACGTCTTTTAACCATATGTTTCATCATTTCTTTACTCATTTCAACTTGTTTAAGCCATGATTTCCCTTTAAAATTACCAGCTTCTTGTAAACAATGAATAGCTGTTGATCGTGTTGTCGCACTAGCATAACGTTCATAAGATTGAACAGTAGTTTGATGAATTTGACAATCACGACGAGATTTTAATTGATTTGAACACCGTATTGTTGAATGATCAGGTAAAGGAATATATGTATCAATATCAATTACTTTACGTTCACTAGAATAAGAAGTTGATAATAGCTTTGTTGATTTTTTTGATTGATATTGTGGTTGTTTTTGTATAGGCTGTTCAGTTTGTGTAAATAATTCTTTTTGTTTAACTGTTTTACGTTGTTCAGTTTCTAAACCAATACGTGATGATGGTAATGCATAAGCATTAGCAGATAGCATTGTTGTTTGATGAATATCTTTTTTATTAACGTTAATGACCGTTTCTAATTTATTTGTTATTGATGAATGATATCTATGTGCATTCAATGTTGGAGAAACAATGACAGGTAAAGCATATGTTTCTTCATCGTCAAGATTAGAAGATCGTAATGATTCTGCTGAAGATGATAATGATTCATCTGATGATTTTGATAAATGTGTAGTTTTTTCATCGAACAGATGATTCTCTTTAATTAAAGAAGATGATTTTTCTTTTTACTATGAAAAATTTAATAGAAATTTTACCTTCTAATCGTTTAACTAATGCTGATGGTGTAATATGTGTTGTATTTGATAAATTTTCATTTTTTAATATTATTTTAGATAATTTTAAATTTGTATCCATTCTATTTAATTGTTTTTGTTTATTTGAAAATTCAAATGATGATGATGGAATAGATTTTGAAATTTTTTTTGAAGATTTATTTTGATTTAATTTTGTTTGAGGTAATAATAATAAACGTGGACGACGTGATTGTTGAAGATTTTCAGCAGCTATTTGTTTAGCACGTTTTCGTTCATCTAATGCAAAATTTTTAATAAATATTTTCATTTTATTTATTTTTTCTTGTTCTTTATCATTTAAAATATGATAATAATCATTTTGATCTGATCTTATCGTACTACCACCAGATCGTACATTTCGAAGTTGTTCTAATGGTACTTCAAATGTATTATTAAAACCATCAATTAAAACTTTATAACCAAGTAAACCTTGTTTTGGATAGATACGTTTTCCTTGTGATGTATTATATAAATGTCCACCATATTTTTTCCAAACTTTTTCACGTGCACGTTCATACCAACTATAAAAGAAAAAAAAGAAAATGATTTCAATTTCTATAATAATAAAATCAATAAATTTTTTGATTTACTTTATAATTTTACAATAGAATGGTAATGAAACATAGACATAATTTGATGATGAACGATGAAGTGCATTTGTACTAATTGTTGAAGTAAGTAAATCAGAAACATATTCACTTGTTGCATTCAATGGTATTTGAAGATTAAATTGTTTATCATGTAAATAAAAATAAATAACACGATAACGTTGTTCTTCTTCTTTATTTTTTGATAATAATGAACTAGATAATGCTAATTGGTAAGGTAAATAATTTGTTATAGGATCTCGAATTTGTGTACATATAATAGAATGTCTTACAAATAGATCAACTATTTTAACATGTCCTCGTTCGACAGCTATATGTATAGGACATTTAAGCATTTCAGGTAAATTTTTACTTGTTAATTCTGATGTCCATTGACGAGATGGATGTTCACCAACAGGATGATCACTACGAGCACCATGTTGCATTGCAAAATTAGCTAATTCCATATGACCTGAAAAATTAAGATAACAAAAAAAAAAAGATAAATTCATTATTTTTTTTTTGGTGACTAATTAGAAAAATAAAACAAAAAATCTTACCATAAAAAGCTGCAATATATAAAGCAACTTGTGTTTGATAATGTCGTGTAAGATCATCATGAGCATACGATTCAGTAAAACCTTTAATACAAGAATTAATAAATTTTTCATATCCTCTCCATACTTTTAAATAAATATGATCATGAATTTTAATATCATAATTTAATAATGTCATATCATCATATAAACGTTGTTTTGTATCATATGTTTCAAGACAAAAAATACTTAATGGTAAACCTAATTTATCAGAAATTTTCTTTCGTATTGTACCAATTGTTGTTTCAATTGTTATTGATGAATCATATAATTTTAATATTTGTCTATTAAAACTACATAAAATATAAAGATCAGCTGCTTTTTCTTCTCGATATAAACAACGTATAATTGATCCAGATGGTATACTTAAATCAACTAATGACCATTTTGGTTTAAGATCAGAACCATTATAATTAAGAACAATTGATGTTTCAGATGGACCACTATCTTCAGTATTAAGACCAAATTCTCGTTTAACTAATGTAAGAACATCTTCAACAAGAACATTTTCATTAACATCAATTAATCGTATGGATTGATGTGGTGGATAATAAATAAAATAACGCATATTTTTATAAATAATTTGATATATCCTATTTAATATAAAATTATATTAATCAAAAATAATCGAAGATAATTTTTACATAATTATAATTAAAAGTTGATTTTGTATATAGTTATTTATTTTATGAAAATCTTATTAAAAAAATATTTGACAAAATTATTTCAAATTTTCTATATATTTTTCTATTGATACATCATTAACCTTCCCTACTGAGATATTAATCGAAATGAGAACAAGAAACTATTACACAGCAGGTAGTTTTTTCTTTATCTTACACGTTAATTGCAATGATCGAGAATGATTTCTCAAAATAGTTTATTACAGATGTTATTGACAATATTTTCGTATGTTGACCAACGATATTCAAGCATTATCTTCTTAGTTGCTATTTTCAACAGTTGGAGTACGTGTTGATGAGAGAAGGAACAAATAAAAAGAAAGTAACGAAGAGATGTCAACAATAGAAATCGTCGTAAGCGCATGCGTGATATAATTATTCAAGCTTAAAATATATACCGTCAAGAGAAGCCTTTTAGTGTTAATAGAAAAATGGCAAGAAGAAGCGATGAACGACTGATGAAAAAAAAAATCGGATAAAAAAAACAGAGAACTTATTAATTGATTTAAAAGGTAGTTGGCTCTTTTTTTCTGTGTTGATTGTTGAGTAACATAGGAGATGCTATGCAAGACTGACATTTAATAAATATACTAGAAAAAAAAATAAAGTAACCATGATTACTATTGTTAGTTGAATATAATGAAAAAAAACAAAGAATATAAAAATTAATTTAACTATATTTTTTTCTAAGAGTTCTATATATTCATTCAATTCAATGTTTTATTTTTTTGATGTGTAGAAAATGAAAATTTTCAATTTCAATATTATAAACAATCTTTTCCATAAGTAAGAAAGGCAAATTCTTAGTTTCCCTTCAAATAATCATTTCATTGAAATAATAACATTTGATTTATATGGGCTCTTATGTTGAAAAAATCAAATTCAGAGATTAAAAATCATAAATCAAATGTGAAGAAAAATATTGTTTCAAAAGAAATAGCTTATATACGCACTATATTGAAAACATCATTGATTCGCTTCTACATTAGGCTTTTAAGCGAATAATAAAAAAAAACCACCAAATTTATTTTAATTTATACCATGTTTTCATCAATGAAGAGAATTTTATGATTTCAATCGAGTTTTATTTTACATTTCTATTTTATATTATGCTATTTATTGTTTAAATGCGTACGAGAGACAAAAGCTCTTCTCTTTTTCTTACGGGCATAATTCAACATGTCAACAAATATAGTTCATGAAAAATAAACATTTTTTTAACGATCGTTTCACATGAATTTACATATTGTTTGTTCCGAAGAATCCATAAAACTAAAGAAAATGTGACTGAGTGTTTTTTTTTAAAAGAGAGAATCATTATCACCGTTAAACACAAGTTTATATACACACGGGTGTGTAGTAATGTTAGCAACTTAACAGAATTAAGTTGATATTGACTTCTTAATATAGTGAAATTATGGGTAAAAAAAACTAAAAGTTTTGCTTATAGTCAAAAGAACTACGTAGTCGTAGAAGAAAAAATGTCATCCATAAAACACCATATTAATGCAACGACAAAAATATTTTTTGTAAAATAAATTCTAGGTTCATCTTATACAGACTTGAAAATACATAATTATGCAATAGAAACTGGAACGAATAGAAATCATGTCAATTCGCATTCGATGTGGTTTACATTGATTTCGAAAAAGATACTATGTAATTCTACATACTATCCATTTGTTCTCGATGTTTTTTCCTGACAATGATAGCCGTCAATCGATTGTACTAGAATCTATATACTTGTACGCGTCAAAATATTTTTTTCCCGATACAAAACCAAGTATAAGTTCGACTTTTTCCAGATCTTCACTGTTTAATCTTGCAGAGAAGTCGAACATTTTTCAAGAGGAAATCGTTGATCACCTATTACCATCAGACATAATTGGAAAATGAATATCATTGTTCAATAATGAATGTTTTATGGTACATGCTGATTGTTCTACAGGTAAAGAAGATGATATACGAGAAAGTTTTTTATAAGATGAATTCATTAATGAAGCCTCATTCAAGTTTGGCATATTTAGAGCATATCAAAAGTAGTGGCGGACATATTTGATTCCTTATAACGAGCTTAGAAAAATTTCTTCTCTATAGGGATGGATAGTAAAAGCAATGCTCTACGTTACTCTGATATCTAGTTATTCTTCAGCTTACATAATAATAATAAAACTCCAAGAAGACCTGTTTCGTTATGATACGTGACGGTTACATAAGTTCACATTAGGTGTGGAGGTAGAGATGTGTGAGTGACAGACCCAAGCCCACACCCATACACTCCTTTTTTCATCGCATTTGGTACTATTATCTATATGCAGTGCTCTGTATAATACTATAAAAATCATTATTCTACTTTAGATTTCGTACTCATTGGAAAGTGAGCATTTGTTCAGAAGTTCATTGTACAGATTCATTTTAGTTAATATGTTAGGAATCAAGTGATACCAGCCCCATGAACACGAACAACTTGCACGATTTGATTACTTGCATAATACAGTGAGTTATCCTTTGATACTAGTTATCATGTATAATAACTAATGCGTTTGAAAGTTTTGCAAATTTCTCGGATGTTGTGGGTACAAAGGATACATCTCCACTCGCAGTTCACACTCTCAAAGGTACTGTGGGAGCATAGTTCCCTCATCTTGTCACGCAAATATAAAAAAATAATTACGCGGGCAAGCTTTGTTTTTTGATTCTTGAATAATTAAATTCAACTTTCAAGTGTGAAATGTGCGACAAAGGACGATGTATAAAGTAGATGTCATTACTAATGTATGATTTTATTTGAGATTTAGACATATTTTACATTTGTGTAGGAAAAGTACTTTTTCATTCATATTTTCTATGGGTATTGGCTTAGTATTAGCATTGTATTAAGTTAATGCTTTCTTAAATAATTTTCTATTAGTGTTAAAAAAATAGTTTAACATTAACACAAAAATACTAGAGCATTTTTTAACTCTAATACAAAAATATTAGCATGTTTTCTTCATACTAATGCGAAGCAAGCATCTGTAATGTTTCAATCCCTAAGAAATCTTTAAGTGGATTCTATGCAAGGTTGATTAGTTCAGATCATGTTTGTATGAGAAAAAAAATATTTTTCCAATCTCTTCGTTTTTCTCAATAATAAATTTGTACGACGGTAGAAAATATGACTAAAATAATTCAGTAGAATACATAAAAAGTCTGCATAGTTTTGAGTAAAATAAAGACCAAACAAATAGTAAATATTGATCAAGCGCTGCGATTATCAACCATATGTTCTTTTAAAATTTTCTTATATAGAAAACTAAAAAAAAAAGCATATTAGCATGATTTTCCTCATGTAATTGACGCTGTCATGTGGGAAAACAAATGTTGATTTAGTATACATAAATTTGATAGAAGAAAAAAATATCGCAACTGATAATTCGCAATATTAACTCATATCGTTCATGTCACAGTATAAGAGATAGATGCCTCTACAGATTGTCTGTACAGTGTAGATGGAAGAATATGCTTCAGATCTATTTTATATTGTTTCTTATAGTTTTCCTTCCGAGTTATTTTTATCCATCAAATTTATACCATTCATTGATTTTATCATTATTTTTTTTTTCGCTGTTGTTATTTTTTCCTGTCTAATGTAAGTTACTAGCAGAAGACGGTATGCTGTAAGTTTGATGACAATATAAAAAAAAAAATATATATATATATACAAAGGTAAATTTGCTAGTCCTTTTTATTCTGTTAAAATAAAAAAACAAGACAATCACTTGGTTTCATTATTCAACAAAACAAGTAAATTTTTATTCATTTAGTTTCATTTTTAATAATGGCAACACAACGAAATGAATTTCAAGTTGAGGAAATTCTTCGTCGAAACCCTGCTTATCAAATTGTTGAAGCTAAATATCAATACCAAGAACGTAACAGTAACGGTAAAGAACGTGTTTATGGTGTAAAAGTATCACGACAAGCTTATGAAGAATTAGCAGCCACAATCTCAAAACCAACATTGCCATTTGATAAATTTGTCAAAGTATTAAGACCACTTATGATGGGTACACATGCAGCTGCTTATATACCTGGAGCATTTAATCTTTTAGATAGTGATAATACAGGTACAATTGATATTAGTGAAATCGCTGCTTTTATGCCTGTTATTGTACCTGGTGCAAGTCCACACATGCTCCTTCGCATCATTCAAAAAGTTGATCAAAATCGTGATTATAAACTGAATTTAAATGAATTTACTAACCTCATCAAAAGAGGCATTGGACGAGAAATTGCAATTGGACGCATGTAAAAGGAATTATTTTCAAACACAATTTTTTTTTCTTTTCAAATACATAATGTTTCTGGTTTAATTATATTATTCAATAAAATATATTCTTATTCAGACTATTCATTCAAAAATGTTTCATCATCAAATAGACACTCCGTATAAAGACAAGATTTGAGTAATATACAAATAAAAATATACTACTGGCTAGCTTTTATTCTATTTTAGATAATATGAGTTGATTTTTTTTTCATTTTGGTCTATTGAAGATTATCTATGAATCAATAGATTCTTTGAATTATCATAATTTATAATTACATTTGAAATTTTATTCTCCAACATATTTGATGATTAATGGTTTTTGTAAAAGAGAATCATTGACATTTTTTTCTCTCATACAGTTATGAACTTGTTAATGTGATAATTTAATAAATCTGAATGAATCTAGTGAATTAAGTAATTCTATTAGGCCAGAGTTTTAACTGACCGGATCCAGTTTGTCTATAAAATATTTTCAGATCGATAAAAACCCGTTCTAAATATGTACAGGTTTTTACCAAGGGATGAAACAATTGATTTTTTTTCATTTTTTTTGTAAATTTTCAATCAAAAAACTTAAAATAACCAAAAAAAACCCTGGAATAAAAATGTTACAAACTTGGTTTTGAACGTTTTATTCCTTGATTATAAGTATTTTACGGTAATTTAAGCCTCTAGGTAGAGGTTGTTTATTAAAATAAGAAGTTTTGTATATTTAAAGGATGAAGTCTGCCACCACAATGACAAAAAAGTGATCTGTCTTATTTTTCCCAAGTATTTTCATTCCCCTAAAATTTTTCAACGTACTGATTGTTTTTGATCTAAAACTGACACAAAAATATAAAACAAAAAACAAACCAGTTGCCTCTTGACTTTTTGATCAAAAACTTTGATTTCAGCTCTTTCTCTGTTGCCTTTGACATTTCTTTCATCTCTAATGCTTATATTGCAATGAACCATATTCTCAATTTACTGATAAGCTTTGCAATAAGAAAAAAAGAGGCCATGGCTTGTTTGCCCGATCATTATTAATTGGTTAATTGGAGAATAACTTCAAACGCAGTTATGTTCCTTTTTTCTCGCTCGTTTTCTTATAAATCACCAGTAAGTACTACATGGGGGAAAAAGCGGATTCCTGGATTCCTGTTGGATCTTGTGGATCTACATTGGATCCATAATATAAAAATATCATGGATATATGAAGAATACGACGGTGGCGCAGAGGACTCATGAATTCGGCTTTTCTCTTTGATGAAAAGTGATGGTGTAAAATATACTGAATAAGACAATCAGGAGTTCAGTTGTGCCCTTGTATAGAAATAAGAGCTTTAAGAGTACGGGTATAGGTGTGATGTAGATTTTGAGACGAACCACACCCACACCCTTTAAAGTTGAAAGTCAAAACTGCAGCAGTGAAGATTGAAAGATGAGAACTGGAAGCTGAAACAGAAAGATGAAAGCTGATGGTTTAAAGTTTTAAAGTTGAACTTGAAAATCGAAAGTATAAAATTGAAACTTGAAAGTTGAAATTTCAATTGAATGCAAGTTTCAAGTTTAATATATATGCACCCACACCCACACCCATCCTTGGACAAATAACTCTGGTCTAATTTTTATTTACTCTATGCAAATGGGTGTGGGTGTGGGTGTGGGTGTGGGTGTGGGTGTGGGTGTGGGTGGGTGTGGGTGGGGGGGGGGGGTTTAAGAGAATAGCTACACCCACACCCACACCCTGTCTGATTTCAAATAAGAAATTCTATTGAACATTTTTTTATCATATTGCTTCAAATCAGTATCGAATCTTTATTTACTTTTTTTTGTAACTAAAAATTCCAAGTCATGAAAATGCAACAAGATCTTTATAGGCATATTAGATTCAAGGTCTTCTATCATACGACTTGATAATGAAATATGAATTTTTGTCATGAATGTTATACTTCATTTTTTGTTGTTTTATTGGCATGCACGTTTGTTATAGGTTCTGCGGACTCAGGAAACAATGAACTAATGAATCCGTATGGTATTGCACGGGATCTAAGTTCGGGTACGCTGTACATAGCAGATCAAAGTAACCATCGGGTGATGAGCTATTTAGCAGGTGTATCATCAGGAACTGTAGCAGCTGGAGGTAATGGTCTAGGAACAAGTAACACACAGGTTAAGTATCCAGTGGGTGTCTACTTTGATGCATCGTCAAACAGTCTCATTATTGCGAATACTGGTGCTAATAATATCGTTCGTTGGGTATTGGGTGCTAGTAGTTGGACACTTATCGCCGGCAGTATAAGTGGAGCTCGTGGTAACAATGCTACATTTCTCAATTATCCAGTAGGCGTGACAATGGATCCCATGGACAACATATATGTAGCCGATAGAAACAATCATCGGATCCAATTTTTCTTGACTGGTCAGTCCATTGGAACAACGATTGCTGGTGTCACAAATACAAGTGGAAATAGCTCTACCTTACTTTATAATCCTTATTCGATGGTACTTGATACTCAACTCAATTTGTACGTGGCAGATACATATAATCATCGAATAAAAAAATTCATGCATTGTTAAACAAATCATTTCTCAATCGCTTTCGTTTCTCCACGCCCAATTTACATTTTAATTCTATCGAAATTGTTTGTAAACTAAACTAATGGAAATTGAAGAAAATAAATTTTTACAGTTGCGATTTTTATTCTATAAAAGTTTTAAACTTTATTTCGCTTGACCATTCTAGCTTTTCATTAGACTGAATATTTTTAAATAGAGGAAAATGAAAAACTAAAAAAGGTTTTTAACTTCAACTTCAAATTCAAAGTTTGTGTTAAAGCTAAAGTACTGCATCTTATCTATACTTTGCCTATAGTTCTTCAAATTCGGTAAATTTTATTTTTAAGAAAATGAATAAAACAAATTATTGGTTGTGTTTTTCTTAGTTATAATTTAAACCCTTTAATAGGATGGGTACGTGATAAAAATTTGCAAGAAAGTAGGGTTCTAATTGTCTTCTTTTAATAACACAAACTGTCCAATTATTTCTTTGTATAAACAAAGATGAAGCAAGTATTAATAGTATTTGTACTAAACTTACAATTGTTCAAATAAAGAAAAACATTCTCTATTCGAACAAAAAAAATATATTAAATAAATTCAACAATATTTTAGATAACACAATTATTAACTTTGCATAAATCGATGGATGATTTTGATAATCAAGTAACACTAGCATTAATAAAGCGAGTATCTGATTTATTAAAAGAATAAAGACTTGATTCAACAATAGATCAAACAAAAATTGATTATAAACAACAAGAAAATTTTGATCTTTTTTATGCATTTTCTTTTGAATATCCTTATTTTCTATTAACCGTTTCACTCGATCAATTAGATATACCTTATGAACTTCTTCTCGATCGTTTTTCATTGGTCTAATAATAACATATTTATTCAAAAAAAAAAAAAAAAAAAATATTTCTTACTTTTGTGGTCTTTTTTGTTCGTTTGCCATTTCTCGTTGTTGTCCGTGCAACTTTAAACTTAATCTTCTTTTCTTTTTCTTTGACATTATTTCCCACTCACTTCTTTTGTACAATTATTGTGCCCATCTATTATATCAAAACACAAAAATCTTAGTGAGAGTGTGCTGTAAGTGTGGATGTGAATTGAGAGAGAAAATGAACCCATACCCACACCCATTCTTTCCTTAAAAAAGCTACCGAAGTATCTTTTTCTTTTTGGGAGTGTATGCAAAAGTGTAACATTGATGGAAGACAGAAAAATTCAAAGCCCTTAGACAAACTGTCGAAATCTAGTAAGACACATAATAAAAAATTTCTCTCTATCTATTGATGGAACACGCTTAGTATTAAACAAGTGATGCTCATGAATATTTACTGCCGTAGTATCTTTTCCTGCAAAATACTAAATTGAGTTTTCCGATACTCATAAATATAGCCCAGCAAGCTTTACCTAAATAAGCATCCAGAATCAAGTTTTATTTTTCTACTCCATGGTCATGCATATTCGCATCTATAACAATATTCTAACGATAACAATTAATCTTGGGCTGATGTTCATAAAAGCGCAACAGAATGAAGAAGAAAATGTTCAAGAAGTAAAGAATTCAAAGCTGAGCAATTATTTCGTTAGAGAGCTGTTTATTTAACTAAACAGCATTGAAAACATTTTTATTTGAAGGTAAAAATAAAAGTACGATATACCATATTTGTATAAAACTACTCTGTCCAATTGCTATTATATACAAACAACTAATGTTGATTGATGAATAGCAAATTGGTTTGAGTTATTTGCATGAACAAAAAGATAATAAAGTAAAATATCTCTTTCTATTACATATTTCTTTCCCTTATTTGTTGAATAGAAATGATATTTTATTTGATGGATTGTTACAGAATAGGTTTAGTCTGGTGGAGAGAGAAAATGGCAAAAAATGTGTTTTAACCAAAGGTTTATATATTTTAGGAAAAAATATTTTCTTTTTGATGCTCAAATAGATGAAAGAAAGCTTGATAAAGCAATTTTCTTGAACAACCATGATGTTTACTCATAATACTCTTGAGAATTCTATTAGGCTCCACGGCATTCTAAGGAACTTCACCGTGGAACTCTAAAGGATTGAAATCCGCTGTTTCTCCTTGGGTTTGATCCATTGAAAGTAAGATGATATAGTCATTTTTCTTTCTTATTCTTCACTCACGAACAACAATAAGCAAAACAAATCGCATTAGGTGGAATCAGTGTTTGAAAATGAAGGGAAAAACAACAGGTGGATATCTGTATATATATAACTAGAGCCATTCTCATTCTTGTTGCCATACTTCATACACGATTATATTACTTCAACGATGCGTTTTCTCTCTTTCCTCTTGCTTTTCGTGCTCTTTTTTGCTGGTGCTCAGGCACTCGAAACAAGAGAGTTGGAAGGGGTGCATAAGGGTGAGTACTCTCTAGGTAATAAAACGAAATAAAGATTAGACTTTTCTAGGCTACTGTCCAACTGTACACAGAATATGCATGATCGTCTGTTCACCTCAATCGGCCGCTCGAATGTGTGCGAACAGTGCGGACTGCTGCACAAGAGATAGTCAATGCGCTTCAAACGAAAAATGCTGTCAACCTTCCTGCGGATGTTTCAATCGATGTACCAAAGCTCAAGAAAAACCTGGCTCGCACAACTAACTTTAGATAGTGTAACAGCATATCTTTGATTTTGAATGATTTTTTTTTGTCGTAACAATACATCGATGAAATAAATTCTAGTGGTGTGATTCGAATTGGGCTTCTAAAAATCACTCGATCTTAATGAGAAGCAAGATCTTGACAAAATTTGCAAGGATATTAGATCTTTGTTTAAGAAAGTTCATTTTGAAGGTGTTAACACGTGTATTTTTTTCACATATAATACACCAGTGGAATACTATTTATTAATGTTCGAATCAAGCATTTTTTCTTAGGATCAAGATCAGAATGCGTCATTTTTTGGATGATCAGAACTTTTATCCTATTACTTCATCACCATGTCTATTGTGTTTGTAGACTTAAAAATACTGCGTTTGTTTCACTTGCCGCTAGCTAAAAAGCACCGAGTATCAATCATTCTCTGAATGCTTCGTTCCCATGAAATCACCCTGTTTTTGCCGGCACTGATATCAGGATTTATATGCAAACCCATTCTCTTGGTGCAAAACGATCGGTATGATGGGAAAAGAACGAAAAGAAAAATATCAAAAAAGAAAAATGTCAAATTAAAAGAGTACATTTTCGTTATAATAACCTATAGTATCAATAAAAAATTTACTGAATAAAGAGAAAGGATAGAAAAATTCGTAAAGATATGAGTGCAGTGTTATTCTTTACATCTATAACCAACCCCACATTCCCATACCCTCGACTGAAACCCCTAGTTTCTGCTCGATGCTCGTCCTCGAAAACGTTAACGTTCCATTGAGAATTGAATTCTGCATCTAATCCAAGCCTAGGAGCGTATATCAGACGGAAAAACTTCAATCCACTGCTAACCTTCGTTACGTCATGATTCACCATATTTTTTTTGCAACATTTTTATCACAAACATAAGGTAACCTATCGGGTGTGACTAAGTCTTGTCGTTGTCTACAATCACATGCACATATGACTCTAAATCCAAATCGAAAATCCTACACTCACATCCCAAAAATGGCCTCTCAATTGTTACATTCGAACAATCTCTTACAATTAATATTTTCTTCATTCTATTTTTCATATTCGATATTTTTCCTTTCAACGTTTCTCATTCGACATTTTCTATTTTCGATATACTTCTCTTCGACATTTTTTTCTTTCTGTCTTTTTCCATCTATTCGAACGATCTTTCTCGATGATAAACTGAAGAAAGACATGCTCGTCTGGACACAGTACATTGTTGATTCATTCTTACAAAGACAAAATATTCTCTTGACTTGAACAAAACTTTTTCTAATTTTGTACCGAAGAATAATCAGAAAACTCATTCTTTTTGAAGCTGACGACAACTTACAATGGAACTGTCTGTATTGTCAGTCACAAACTCAATTTATATTAGGATTAAATTATTATCCTCAACGTCAAAGTAATAAGTTTACAATATGAGCTACTGATGACTAGTCTCTATGGTATTATGGTCGTTTTATTGAGTTTTCGATCTGTGGCAAGATATGAAAAAATCAAATTATGAGAATTTTAACCTGAAACCTTGTCCATAGATAGGTCTCATGGTTAATAGATTGCTCTAAAAATCTCAGTCGAGAAGAATGTATTCTTCTTGAGATATTGCATATTCAAAAAACAATCATGTGCCACAAGATACATTAGAAAATTGAGTGTCTTCAACATATGATATCTCAAGAAGAAAACACTTTTGAGCTGAAATTTTTAGAGCATTCTACTAGCCATGAAACCTATCTATGACAACGTTTCATGCTAAAATTCTCATAATTTGATTTCTTCATATATATATACATCTTCCCAGAGGTCGAAAACCCAATAAA